TTATTTACAGTATACAAGTTCTATATATATGTATTTCATATATTTATCCTTTTTTTTTTTTTTTTTGACAGAGTGGACAGTGAGAGAGAGAGACAGAGAGAAAGGTCTTCCTTTGCCGTTGGTTCACCCTCCAATGGCCGCCGCGGCTGGCGCGCTGTGGCCGGCGCACCGCGCTGATCCAATGGCAGGAGCCAGGAGCCAGGTGCTTCTCCTGGTCTCCCATGGGGTGCAGGGCCCAAGGACTTGGGCCATCCTCCACTGTACTCCCTGGCCACAGCAGGGAGCTGGCCTGGAAGAGGGGCAACTGGGACAGAATCCGGTGCCCCGACCGGGACTAGAACCCGGTGTGCCGGCGCCGCAAGGCAGAGGATTTGCCTCTTGAGCCGCGGCGCCAGCTTCATGTATTTATCTTGAGTTTCTTCTGACTGACAACCAGTGGTTGTTGTCCACCATCCAGAGTTCACTCCCATTAATACAGAAGTACAGGAGGTGGGGCAAGCTGCAAGAAGCCCTATAACAGTGCTGTCAACAAGATAGGAAAACTAGAAAGCAGACTGAGTTTGGAGTGGGGTGTTGGGGGTGGGGAGAAGGAGCTTGTCTTTCTTCCTACCACAGACTGGCACGTTATAAAGAAAAGAGATTTGTGATTTTGGTCCAAGTTTGATGGGCCGCATCTGGTGATGAACTTCTTGCTGGTTGAGTCCTGAGGTAGTTCAGGGCATCATGTGGTAAGAGACAAGGGAACACGCAAGAGACCTAGCAAACTGACTTTTAGAGGAGACCTACTCTTGAGATAACCCATTAACCTGTTAAGCCATTGATCACATGATGAGTCAGTCTGTGTATGTGCACAGAGCTGCAATCCCCTTAAATGTTCTGCCTCTTAATAGCTCACAATTGTAATTCAGCAAAAGTTTGGGGGGCAAACCATATTTAAACCATAGCAGAGGTCATGAATTTAGAGATTGATTTGTGGTAGTCAATAGGGACCAAAAGTTATCACTCTACCAGACCCCGTTACCTTCACCTGAGTGTATTTTGATATCTATTATCCAGTCTCTCCTCATCTCACCTCCCCCCACCCTTTCCAAACTCTAGTAATCACTGTTTTAAATATATATATATCTCAATTATGTATGTTTATATATATTTGTGTATATTTTTAACTTCCACTTATGAGAGTAAACATGTGGTATTTATCTTTTTATGTCTACCTTCTTTTTTTTTTTTTAAAGATTGATTTATTTATTCAAAAGTCAGAACTACACAGAGGGAAGAGAGGCAGAGAGAGAGAAAGAGGTCCTCCATCCAATGGTTCACTCCCCAGTTGGCCACACCAGCCGGATGAGTGCCGATCCAAAGCCAGGAGCTTCTTCCGGGTCTCCCACGTGGGTGCAGGGGCCCAAGGACTTGGGCCATCCTCTACTGCTTTCCCAAACCATTGCAGAGTGGTAGATCAGAAGTGGAGTGGTGTCCACATGGGATGCTGGCGCTGCAGGCCAGGGTGTTAATCCACTGTGCCACAGCACCAGCCCCCGTCTACCTTCTTTCACTTAATGTAATGCTCTCCAGCTCCATCCATTTTGCTACAAATGCCAGAATTTCATTCCTTTTTAATGGCTAAATATAATCCTTTGTATACATCACATCTTCTTTATCCATTCATTCATTCATTGATTGAAAAAATCAACCTAGGTTGATTTTCGTATGTCAGTTATTGTGCGTAGTGTTTCAGTGAACCTGGGAGTGCAGGTGTCTCTTTCATATGCTGTTTATATTTCCTTCAGATTTATACCCATAAATGAGCTAGCTGAGACATATGGTAGACCTATTTTTAGTTTTTTGAGGAACCACCATATTGTTCTCCATAATAAATGTATTAATTTGCATTCCCAACAGCAATGTATAAGTGTTCCCTTTTCTCCAAATTGTTACCAGCATTTGTTATTTTTTCTCTTTTTGATAATAGCCCCTCTAACTGTAGTGAGGTAATAAATCATTGTACTTTTTTATTTGTGTTTCCCTAATGTTAGAAAAAGAGTTGCATATTGGTGCCTCCTCACATGGGGCACCAAAATGTTAGGAAAAGAGGCACAGAATAGAGAGGAAGCAGTGTACAAATTTATAGGCAGATCAAATTCATTCAGAGAAAATAAATCCGTAGAGGTGGGTGACCAACTGCCCGTGTGCCCCTGATGGAGCCCATGATGGAACACATGGCAGAAGGCCTTGACTCCCAGGGGCCGGGCCTTTTTTTTTTTTTTTTTTTTTTTTAAGATTTATTTATTTTACTTGAAAGTCACAGTTACACAGAGAGAGGACAGGCAGAGAGAAAGAGAGTCAGGTCTTCCATCCACTGGTTCACTCCCCAAATGGCTACAGCAGCCGGAGCTGCGCCAATCCAAAGCCAGGAGCCAGGAGCTTCCGGGTCTCCCAGGTGGGTGCAGGGGCCCAAGGACTTGGACCATCTTGTACTGCTTTCCCAGGCCATAGCAGAGAGCTGGATCAGAAATGGAGCAGCCGAGTCTCGAACTGGCGCCCATATGGGATGCCGGCACTGTAGGTGGCAGCATAACCCATTGTGCCACAGCACCAGCCCCGCAGGGCCTTTTTATGTTTTAGGAGGGCTGGGGATGGTGGTGGGGTAGGGAGCAGTAGGCAGAGGGGAATTCCTGGAACTGGTCTTTCAGGTCTTCAGAGCAACTGGTCTTTCCGGGGATTTGGGGGTGGGGGTATGAAGACAATAGGGTGTGAGACCCGTTTGATATTGAAGGGCAAGGAATACATTCCATTGTTTATCTCCTTTGGGCAATGACGGAGAATGCTGAGGCTTATGTCCTTGTTCCATCACCTAATGTCTAGTGATACTGAGCGTTTTTTCACATATTTGTTTCCATTTGTACTTCTTTTGAAAAAATTCTATTTAGATTCTTTGACCATTTCCTTTTTTAAAAAATTAATTCATTGATTTGAAAGGCAGATTTACAGAGAAAGGGAGAGACAGAGAAAGAGATCTTTCATCCACTGGTTTACCCCCAAAATGGCAGCAATAACCAGGGCTGGGCCAGGCAGACCAGGAGCCAGGAACTTCTTCTGGGTCTCCCATGTTAGGGACAGCAGCCTAGGGACTTGGGCCATCTGCTGCTTTCCCAGGTGCATTAGCATGGAACTGGATGGGAAGTGGAGCAGCTGGGACTCAAACAGGCACCCATATGGGATTTCAGCTCTCCAGGTGGTAGCTTAACCCTCTGCACCATAGCACCTGCTTCCCCATTTCCTTTTTTAAAATTTATTTTCATTTTACTTGAAAGACAGATAAAAAAAAGACCTTCCATCCATTAGTTTATTCCCTAAATGCCCACAACAGCCAGGGCTGGACAAGGCCAAAGCCAGAAGCCCAGAACTCCAGAACTCAATCTGTTCTCCCATATGGGTGGCAGGTACCAAACCACTTGAATCATAACCTGCTGCCTCCTAGGGTATACATTAGCAGGAATCTGGATTGGAAGTGGAGTAGCTGGGATGGGAACCAGGCACTGTAATATGGAATGTTGGCATCCAAAGTGGCAGCTTAACTGCTGTGCTACACACCTGCCCCCCTTCCCCCATCTTCCCTAACTCCCCCCACCCCACTCTCCTACCCCGCCCCTGCTTTGCCCATTTCTTAACTGGATTGTTTGGGGTTTTGTTGCTAAAATTTTGAGTTCCTTATGTAGTCTGGGTATTAGTGCTTTCTTGGATGAATAATTTGTGGATATTTTCTCCCAGTCTGTTGATTTTCTCTTCTGCTATGTAGAAGCTTCTACTTCTCAAGTCATATCTTTACTTTTTCATTTGTGTAATGAAGTTGTAGGCCAAGCTAGAGTCATTGATAGGCATTACAGATTAAGAAGTCTGTGAGCATAAAAGAAATCTTTCTAGCAAACAAAATTGTCCATCTGCTGCTTTGAGCAAAATCAGAGGTGCTGAGGAAAAGGTTTCTTAATGGTCAGGGGGCTAGACAATGAAATCTGAAGTACCTGCTGGGGACGGGGGTGTTGTGGTACAGTGGGTTAAGCCTTTGCTTGGGATGCCCACATCTCATTTCATAGTATTTGGGTTCATGTTCTACCTCTGCTTCTGATCCAGTTTCCTGCTAATGTGCATCCTGGAAGGCAACAGATGATTGCCCTAAGTCCTTGAGTACCTGACACCCACAAGGGAAACCTGGATGGAATTCCTGACTCCCAGTCCTGGTTATTGTAGGCAATGTCTATTTCTCTCTCCTCCCTCCCACCTTCCTCCCTCTGTTTTTCTGCCTTTCAAATATAATAAAGACAAATAAACATTAAAAAAATAAAGTCCCTTCTAACTCTAAAATTCTGTGGTAGAAAATACTCAATAAATAACTAGCGACTTGGTAATATACTAATAACATTTAATTGCATATATATTAATCCACAGCTGTAGTTCATTTTATTTATTTATTTTTATTATTTTTATTTATTTTTTTATTTTTTGACAGGCAGAGTGGACAGTGAGAGAAAGAGAGACAGAGAGAAAGGTCTTCCTTTGCCATTGGTTCACCCTCCAATGGCCGCCGCGGCCAGCGCGCTGCGGCCGGCTCACCGCGCTGATCCGATGGCAGGAGCCAGGTACTTATCCTGGTCTCCCATGGGGTGCAGGGCCCAAGCACTTGGGCCATCCTCCACTGCACTCCCAGGCCACAGCAGAGAGCTGGCCTGGAAGAGGGGCAACTGGGACAGAATCCAGTGCCCCAACCGGGACTAGAACCCGGTGTGCCGGCGCCGCAAGGCGGAGGATTAGCCTAGTGAGCCGTGGCGCTGGCTGTAGTTCATTTTAAATTAATGGTATACCTACATGGAAATTCTGTGAAGAATATTTTTTCAGATAAAAGTGAGAATTCTATCTTGACAATAAATTATGGGAAAATACAATGTATCATTGATGTCAGGTAAACCTTAATTATTTCTAGATTTGTATTTTCTTTTGTTTTTCAGTATAAACTATGTAGAAATGAATATTATGATGCATTTTATATATGGAGGAACTTTGGATTTTCCAGGAAAAGCTAATGTTGGGTAAGTATTACTTTTTAATAGTTTCAACCATAAAAATATTAAAATCTTATGGCTATGCTTTGTTGAGCTATGTTGCAAAGTGTCAGTGAAGTAGAAGCTATGTTTTTATTATTAATTTTGCTATATCTTATGTTTTGAGCATGTCTAAAAACAATCAAGTCAACTCATTTAGAAGAAGAGATGATTTAGCAACTCAAAGTAAAAAGATTAATAAAAGCCTTTATTATAAATTATGTTAGAAGAACCTTATTTTTGTTTGGAAAGCAAATGGTAAGTTTTTAGCAAATAGAACTGATCACACTAAACATTGAAAGTTATTTTTCCTATTTTGTACTTTTCATTTCATGTTGTCTTTTTTAAACAACATAAGAAAAAAGGTCCTTAAAACTTAATTAAAAATATGAGGCATCCCAAAGACCAATAATTTTGTGATTCTTAAGTTCTCTGTTGTTAAACGTCATCTATGCTTCTAAAATCCTAATGGGGAGTGAAAGTTTGCGTTGTTACTCTAATTCCAGATGTCTTTCCTTTTTCTTGCTGTTTTATCCCCAAATGACAGTTGCACCTTTAATTTAAAAATTCATTTGGGTTCCCTTAACTTCAAATCGAATAGATATGTTTTAGGGGAGATCCTTCCATGAGTCAGGGACTGAGCACTACATGTTTTATCCCTTGGCAGCCCATTTGACATTGCATCATGTTCTCAAGGCCTGAAGGCTTCCTGAATACCCAGAGTATGTGTCAGAGCGCAGAAATACTTCCCAAATGACAAAAGCAAAGGAATCAGGTCTTTGGATGTTGTCTACAATCTTAGAGTCACTTATAGATTTTTCAGTATGATAAGCATCAATGAATTTCCCCCATTCCTGATTAAATATTTATTGTACAAATTTGTTACAATGAATTTTGTAACTTTAGATAGCCTTCAGAGCAGTTTCCTGGATTTTGCTCTCCACAATTGTACCTTAAAAAGTTCATGGAGAAATGGAATTAAAAGATAAGTTGATTTTGGTTCATAAAATTCTTAAAATACAGGCAGTTTTTTCATAATATACATTTTTATGAACTTTTTAAAGACTCTGCTTATGCATAGATTTCAACATCTTATCTTTTAGGTCTGTTTTCCACCAACTCTTTGAAGTACCATGATGTTACTGAGTGTGTGGGGAATTTGAAGCATCTCCAAATTCACTTCTTGTTATTTTCCACTAATTAAATCATGTGTCAGTGATTTCAGTTTTTGCCCTTTTTTCATTCCATAATCCATAAATAATATCTATTATATAACGCAAAATTTGAATTTAAATCAGATTATTATTTTTTTCTAGATAGACTGTATATTATCAAGAAATTACTGTGTTCCTTGATTTTTAAATTTGAGAATTAACTGTACATCAATTTTTATTTTAGTCAAATACTCAATATGGCTGATATGTATGGACTAGAAGGATTAAAAGAAGTAGCCATATATATTTTAAGAAGAGATTACTGTAATTTCTTTCAAAAGGTAATGATTAAGTCTTAGAAATCTTTACTCAGTGCTTTAAGTCATTCATTATTACCTACTATATTTTTCTCTGTGATAGTAATAGTGCTTTCAATATTAAAAATATTAAGCCAGGGGCCAGCATTGTGGTATGGCAGGTAAAGCTGCTGCTTGCAGTGTCAGCATCCCAAATGGGTGCTGGTTCCTGTCCTGACTGCTCCACTTCCCATCCAGCACCCTGCTAATATGCCTGGGATAGCAGCAGAAGATGGTCCAAGTGCTTGGGCCCCTACCATTCACGTGGGAGACCCAGATGAAGCTTCTGGCTGCCAGCTTCAGTCTGGCTCAGCTCTGGTTGTTGCAGTCACTTGAATAGTGAACCAGTGGATGGAAGACTTCTCTGTCTCTCCTTCCGTTTCTCTTTGTAACTCTGCCTTTCAAATAAGTAAACAAATCTTTGAAAAAAAATAGTAAGCCAGTTTAATGAATGGGAGCTCCACTTGAGAAATAACACATATAATATGCTTACAAAAAATGAAGAAGTAATTCAAATCACTGTAATTAAGATTGATATGGGGAGTTTACTAAAAAGATATAGGAGCATCCTGTATAATCCAAAGACAGAGTGTATAGCTGGGACTCAATTAGGGTTTACCCGAAGGAGAAAGGTTGTCAAGAACTAAGGTTACCTTCTCCATTTATCACAGAACTACACAATGCTTCATTGGTTCTTTTCTCAAAGTATACTCCCTTCTACCACCTCTCTGTACGGTAGGCCCTTGGATGGACTAGAGGTCTTGTCTATCTTCCCCGGTGTGAATATTAACTTTTTAATTTTAGTTTATACAAAGGTAAATTTAGTGTCTAATGAAAGCTCCTGCACTTTGTATTTCAAAACCATTTTGTACATAATTCTTTAGATCCTTCATTATTTATTTTTAAAAAACATTTTATTTATTTATTTATTAACAATTTTTTTTAACTTTTATTTAATGAATATAAATTTCCAAAGTACAGCTTATGGATTACAATGGCTTCCCCCCCATAACGTCCCTCCCACCAGGTAGAGTTACAGACAGTGAGAGAGAGAGAGAGACAGAAAGGTCTTCCTTCCATTGGTTCACTCCCCAAATGGCTGCAGCGCGGGAGCTGCGCTGATCTGAAGCCAGGAGCCAGGAGCTTCTTCCTGGTCTCCCATGTGGGTGCAGGGGCCCAAGCACCTGGGCTGTCTTCTACTGCTATCCCAGGCCACAGCAGAGAGCTTGGACTGGAAGAGGAGCAACCAGGACTAGAACCGGCACCCATATGGGATGCTGGCGCCACAGGTGGAAGATTAACCTAGTGTGCCATGGCGCTGACCCCAATCTTTCATTATTTTAATGTACTATGTAGGCTATCTTCATTTTCTTATTTATGCTTTTCTGCACTTTCTAGGTTTTCTACAGTGACCATGTATTACTTTTACAGTCAACAAAAACAAATCTCAAAAGAATTGTTTACATTATATTTCCCTTTTATTGGGTACTTGCAGCAATAATATAAATTATTTAAATTCTAATTCAGTAATTTTAATAGCATTGTAAATGTAGATTTTTGTATTGGGTGGGCTCCTAACTCCCTATAAGTAATAGCTGAGGAACCAGTCCACATTTTAAAAAAGAGCTGTGAACATCTGGAACAGTACCAGCACCACTACCACTCCCACCAGGTTTACTGAGAGAAACAAACTCTCAGTCACCTTTCACTAACCATTCACTCCAGCATCCAGGTAAGGAGACTGGAAGAAGGAGGGCTGGCTCTGGGGCCCTAAGATTTGTAAAGATTTTAAAAATCTGGTGAAAGGCTTTTCCTTCTCCTTCATATGCCTCCCCCATCTTCTAGTCAGATGAAAATTAGGAGAGAGATCCAAGTGTGTCACAAAGGTTAAAGATGGGAAATATCTACAATAAGGAGATGATGTTTCATCCCCAGATGGACATTTAATATATTTTTTTTTTTGACAGGCAGAGTGGACAGTGAGAGAGAGAGACAGAGAGAAAGGTCTTCCTTTGCTGTTGGTTCACCCTCCAATGGCCGCCGTGGCCAGTGCGCTGTGGCCGGCGCACCGCGCTGATCCGATGGCAGGAGCCAGGAGCCAGGTGCTTTTCCTGGTCTCCCATGGGGTGCAGGGCCCAAGCACCTGGGCCATCCTCCACTGCACTCCTTGGCCACAGCAGAGAGCTGGCCTGGAAGAGGGGCAACCGGGACAGAATCCGGCGCCCCAACCGGGACTAGAACCCGGTGTGCCGGCACCGCAAGGTGGAGGATTAGCCTAGTGAGCCGCAGCGCCGGCCGACATTTAATATATCTCTAAAATGTATCCACCTTGAAGCTTCCAACAAAGAAGAAAGTAATAAGAGATTTCTTGAGGTAGCTTGGAATATGCCTGAAAAGCCTGTGAGAATATATTTGAATGTAGAGATTTCTTTTTTTTTAAAGGTTTATTTATTTATTTGAAAGAGTTACGCAGAGAGAGAGAGAGAGAGAGAGAGAGAGAGGTCTTCCATCTGCTGGTTCATTCCCTAGATGGCTGCAATGGCTGGAGCTGCACCAATTCGAAACCAGGAGCCAGGGGCTTCTTCCAGGTGTTCCATGCAGGTGCAGAGGCCCAAGGACTTGGACCATCTTCTACTGCTTTCCCAGGCCACAGCAGAGAGCTGGATCAGAAGTGGAGGAGCCAGGACTAGAACCGGCACCCATATGGGATGCCGGCACTGCAGGTGACGGCTTTACCCACTAAACCACAGCGCCAGCCCCAAATGTGGAGATTTCTAATGGAAGGAGGCTTGCTGGAGAAGCCAGGACCAGCCCAGTAATAATAGATGGCAGTTACTATCGTACAAAGAAAAAAATGTGGGAAGTCTCTTGCATATTTATATCTGGTCCACTGGGAAGAAGGACATTGTTGGTCCCATGAGAGCCAAAAGAGAATGATGCAGGACTAAGCTGTTCCTTATGAACCACTGAGGAGTCCTTATCCTCTGAGAGGCTGGGATGCAGCCTGATCTATCCCAAGAGAGCTACCACATCAGCAAAGGCCAACAGTATCTGAATTATACCAAAGTCCAGGACATCTTCCTACTGTTTTGATCTCTGCATAATTACATAAGGTGACCATAGTTATCTAAATCTCTCTTCCACAGAAGCTGGACCCAGAAAATAGAGGAGCAAGAGACTGGACTGTGCTCTCCTCTGTATTCCACACCTCCCCAACCATAATTCTATTCAGTGATGGTGAGAGTAAGAATTAATTCAGAAATATGGCCAGCGCCGTGGCTCAATAGGCTAATCCTCTGCGTGCGGTGCTGGCACACCAGGTTCTAGTCCCATTCAGGGAGCCGGATTCTGTTCCAGTTGCTCCTCTTCCTGCCCAGCTCTCTGCTGTGGCCCGGGAGTGCAGTGGAGGATGGCCCAAGTCCTTGGGCCCCGCACCCACATGAGAGACCAGGAGAAGCACTTGGCTCCTGGCTTCAGATCAGCACGGTGCGCCGGCTGCAGCGCGCTGGCCACAGTGGCCATTGTGGGGGGTGAACCAACGGAAGGAAGACCTTTCTCTTTGTCTCTCTCTCTCACTGTCCACTCTGCCTGTCAAAAAAAAAAAAAAAAGGAGGGGATTACTTCAGAAATAAAACACATGTTAAAATAGTACTCTACTGAATTTCAATAACGGAATAATTAGAAAGTTATGGAATCTGCCTAGAATGTCATTAAGGGATAGCATGAGTGAAAACACTAGTTGGCAAAATTTTTATCTTAGTATCTCCTCTGAGATTTCTCAGTAAACTAATTATATCTAACATAAAAATAATCACTTTTATAAATAATCTTTAGACCATTGCTTCTAGTCTTTTATGTTCATGAGTATGTATGGGTTATTTGCAGCTTTTTATATTTATTTTGAATAATCTACTTAATTTTAAAAACATAAAAGGCATATTTATTTCTATTAAATCAACAGGAAATGAAATATTTTTAATAATGAGTATGATATTTTGTTAGAATCTTTTTTCACTTTATTTTATTTTTAAAGTTATTAATTTATTTACTTGAGAGGCATAGAGATGAAGAGAGACAGGGAGTCAAAGAGAGAGCTCCATTGATTCACTCCATAATGCTGGCATTGGCTAGGACTGAACCAAAACAAGGTCAGAGCCAGGAACTCAATCCAGGTCTCCCACATAGGTGACTGGAATCCAGTTACTTGAACCATCACCACTGACTGCCAGGGTCTGCATTGGCAGGAAGCTGGAGTCAGGAGCTGGGGCCAGAAACAGCCCAGGTACTGCAGTGTGGGATGTGGGTGTCTGAACTGGCATCTTAACCAGTGTCTCAATCTCAGTGCCAAGTGCTAGCCCCTGAATTACATGTATTTATTCTAAAGTTTAGGTATATAAATCAGATTATATTTATGAAACAAATACTTTTAGCCTCTGTAAGTTGAAAAAGAGTAAATATGGTGTTTTCTATCAATTTTAGCCTGTCCCCAGAACATTGGCATCTATACTAGAATGCCTTATTATCGCTCATTCAGTTGGAGTGGAAACTCTTTTTGCTGACTGCATGAAGTAAGTTATCTTAAGTGGTGTTGATACTATTAATTTATGAATTTTGTCCTTAAATTCTCCAAATTTTACATACAAGTAGACTTAGCTTGTTTTCTTGAGTACAATGTAAGTGGCTTACTAATTATCTAGTTGCATCAATTTGAGTAGAAGTGTTGATTTAGACATTACTTGGATGCATGGAATCAATTTTATTTTAGCCAAACCATGATTAGTTGTGTTAAAATCTGTGCAGACAACCCAAACTTTGCTAAAAATATGTGTTTACCACAAAGGGCGCATAGTTATGTTCATCTTAAAGCTCATAAAATTAATAGTCAATGTTAGTCAAAACATACATGTGTAATTTTATAATTAAAAGCCAAAATATTATTAACTATAAAGAAAAAGTTTTCATTTCTCTAATTTAGAATTTTTTACTTTAACAGGTGTATTGTGAAGCATTTTGCAAGGTTTTGGTCTGAGAGAAGCTTCGCAAATGTACCTCCTGAGATTCAAAGAGGTTGTCTTCATATGTTGATTCAGTCCTTAGTGAGTATAACCTGAATACCCTAGTTTGTATGTCCATCAAAAGTCTTACTCAATTCTGTATAGTGCTTTTAAAGATTTACATAGGAATATGGAATATTATTATAAAAGCAAGATAAGAAGATAAGAGAGCCAGTTTTAGATAATACCGAACCAATCCAGAAAACCTAGCCTTAAGATTCTGTTTCTCTGGAATAACTCTTACTACCCAGTTCATCAGTCATCTAGGATATAATCAAGTGAGTAGAACCACTGGGGCCATAGATTGGTTCATTAACAAAGGGGGCATGATGTCAGTGATGGAGGGTATACATTGGCTCAGCAAAATGGACTTCTATTTACCCTGGTCAATCTAGGTATAAAACCGAAATTTCTAAGTTAATTTCCCATTCTCCAAGGAATCAGCTGTCTACCTGGTGGCAGGCTGATTGCGCTGGACCACTTCTATCATGGAGAAGGCAATGCTTTTTTCTCACTGGAACAGACATTTTCTCTGGACATGGTCTAACCTCCATTGTGCACAGTGTTTCTGCTAAAAATCATTGACCATGAGCTTACTGAATGCCTCATCCATCATTGTAATATTTCACACAGAATCACTTCTGACTAGGGAACTAACTCACTTCACAGCAAATGAAATACAGTGAAATGATATACAGGCCTTATTCATGGAATTCACTGGTCTTATAGGGATCTGCATCATCCTAAAGCATCTGGCTTGAGAGAGTGGAAGAGTGGCCTCTGGAAGATTCATTGCAGTGCCATATTTGTGGCAATTCCTTGTGGATTTGCGATCCTGTCCTCCAGGGTGCAATATATGCTCCAAGTTAGTTTTTGATTTATGGTGCCATTTATTTCTTCCCTAGCCAGGATTCATGCATCCAGAAATCAGGGTTGGAAATAGCTCCACACACAATTACACCCTATGATCCACTAGCAAAATTTTTTGCTTCCTTTCCCTGCAGCTTTAGGCTCTGCTGATCAGGTTATAGTTCCAAAGAGAAGAATGCTTCCAGTTGGGAACACAATAATGATTCCATTGAACTGCCTTTATCTAGACACTTTGTAAATACACAGGCAAAAGAGGGAAATTTTTGATAGATTGAGCCTATCAAGAGGAAATTAAGTTGCTACTATACAATATGGGAAGAGCACATCTGAAACGCCATACTCCAGGTTCTATGAGTAAAAATAATAGAAAGCTGTAGTAATTCGATTTAGGCATTAGTGATGTTAGTAGGCTAGGTTCTAAAGGAAGGAAAGTTTGGGCTCCACAACCAGTTAAGGAACTATAAATAGTGAAGGTACTTGCTGAGGACAAAGGAAATATACATTGAGTAGTAGAAGAAGTTAATTATAAATAACAACTGTGACCGTGTGGCTAGTTCTAGAAATGAATTCTACAGTATTATGATATAAGCATATTCATATTCCCCTTTATTTGAATATGTTTATATGTTAATGAAATAGTTTTGGATGTTTCCCACTGTGTCATTCCCTTACAATCACATATAAAACACATTAATAATACTTGTCATGACTTGTATGTCTTCATATTTGTTATAAGATATCAAAGAAAACTCTGAGCTAGTTTCTTTTTTTTAAAGATTTATTTATTTATTTGAAAGACAGAGTTACAGAGAGAGGTAGAGTTAGAGTGAGAGGTCTTCCATTCTCTGGTTCACTCCCCATTTGGCCGCAACAGCCAGAGCTGCACCAATCCAAAGCTAGGAGCTTCTTCTGGGTCTCCCACGTGGGTGCAGGGGCCCGGGGGCTTGGGCCATCTTCTACTGCTTTCCCAGGCCACAGCAGAGAGCTGGATCGGAAGTGGAGCAGCCAGGTCTCAAACCAGCGCCCATATGGGATGCTGGCACTGCAGGTGGCAGCCCCCCATAACAGTTTCATATGTAGAGATATAGATATTTCTCCTAGTGGTTCTGTTTTCTGATTATACCCTGAATGATAACATTAGATAGCATTACATACAGGATACATCTAACTTTAACTGGTATAATAAGTGTTGGCCATCAGTTGGTGAGATACCACCAAAAAAATAAATGTCAGTCTGTGTTTAAGATAATGAAGGATTTTATACTTTTGTTGCTTACTATTTTGCACTAATTTCCTTTGTCACCAAATAGTTGTTCCTTGCTTATGAAGTAAATAAATGGCTCATCAATTATTCAGTTCCATAGAAATGGAAGCATATTTAGCAGTACTAATAGTAGTACCAATATGTGGCAGATTTTTGTTAGACCTTTATAGTTAAATACACACACACACACACACACACAAATTTAGTGCAAGATAGGTACTACAGATTCAATATCTTTTACCTGAAATGCTTGGCACCAGAAGTGTTTCAGATTTCAGATTTTTTTTAATATTTGCATAGACTTTACCAATTGAGAGTACTAATATGGAAATTCAGAATCTGAAAAGCTCCAAAATCCAAAACATTCTGAATGCTGAGTCCTATATGATGCAGCATTCCCATTTCTGGCAATTTACCTAAACAAAACGAAAGCATCATATGAGTTATCTGTACCCTATGTTTATTGCAGCTAATTAACCATAGCTAAGATAGGAATCAACCCAGATGTCTATCAACTGATGATTAGATAAAGAAATTATGGTATATGTACACTATGGAATACCACTCAGCTATAAAAAAAAATAATGAAGTCCTGTCTTTTGCAACAAAGTCGATGTAACTGGAAACCATTATACTTACTGAAATAAGCCAGGCCCCAAATGTGTTCCCTGATCTGTGGTAACTAATAGAGTACCAAAAATATATGTATAGGAGTGGAATTGACATTTTAAACTTGATGATTGTTTGCAGCCCTTGTTACTATTATTAAGGAAGTGTTTTTTTTTTTCTTCATACTATTTGTTGAGCTCATTACTTAGTTTAGGGTTAATTTTATGAGTATAAAGTAAACTGAAAGTAGATCATTGTAAAAATTAAGAGAGGGAATAGGAGATGAATGAAGAGGAAGAGTTGGGAGCGAGGGTGGGAGGGAGGATAGGGTAGGAAGGAAAACTGTGTTCCTAAATCTGTATATATGAAATACATGAAATTTGAATACCTTAAATAAAATTTAAAAAAATTAAAAGAAAACTCCATATGAAAATCCTAGATGGATTGTTGCACTGCCAACAATCTTTAAATGTTGGAAATATTTAATAAAAAAAGATTTTTTAAAAAAGAACCTTGCTCCCACTTGATGGAAGATCCCTTCACCCTGTATCTTCCTCTCTCTGTGTAAGCCTGACTTTCAAATAAATAATAAATCTTCAAAAAATGTTATTAAGCCAAAAATGCCTTTAAGACACCTAACCCACTGAACATCATGTCATAGCTAGACAGTGCACTGTAGCATCCTAGTTGTTTCCCTCTGATGATCTTGTGGTTGACTGGGAGCTATGGCTTGCTCTTTTTTTTTTTTTTTTTTAATTTTTTAATTTTTTTTTATCTTTTATTTAATGAATATAAATTTCCAAAGTACGACTCATGTGTTACAATGGCTTCCCCCCCCATACCGTCCCTCCCCCCCACAACCCCCCCCCCTTCCCACTCCCTCTCCCCCTCCATTCACATCAAGATTCATTTTCGATTATCTTAATATACAGAAGATCAGCCTAGCATACCTTAAGTAAGTATTTCAACAGTTTGCTCCCACACAGAAACATAAAGTGAAAAATAATAGATGATTTTTTTTAAATGATGATGAAATCAGATCAGACCTATTGTCATGTTTAATCCCAGTGAGAGTCAAGTTGGGAATTGATAATTTTTTTTTTTTTTTTTTTTACAGAAGATCAGTTTAGTGTACATTAAGTAAAGATTTCAATCGTTTGCACCCCCATAGAAACACAAAGTGAAATATACTGTTTGAGTACTCGTTATAGCATTAAGCCTCAGTGTACAGCACGTTAAGGACAGAGATCCTACATGAGGAGTAAGTGCACAGTGACTCCTGCCGTTGACTTCACAAATTGACACTCCTGTTTATGGCATCAGTAATCTCCCTATGCACCAGTTATGAGTTTCCAAGGCTATGGAAGCCCCCTGAGTTCTCCGACTCTTATCTTGTTTAGACACGGTCATAGTCAAAGTGGAGGTTCTCTCCTCCCTTCAGAGAAAGGCACCTCCCTCTTTGAAGACCTGTTCTTTCCACTGGGATCTCACTCACAGAGATCTTTTTGCCAGAGTGTCTTGGCTTTCCATGCCTGAAATACTCTCATGGGCTTTTCAGCCAGATCCGAGTGCCTTCAGGGCTGATTCTGAGGCCAGAGTGCTATTTAGGACATCCGCCATTCTATGAGTCTGCTGAGCATCTCACTTCCCATGCTGGACCACTCTCCCCTTTATCCATTCTATCGGTTGGTGTCAGCAGATACTAGACTTGTATGGCTTGCTCTTGTTACCCAGTATCACTAGAGAATATTGTAGCAAATATCAGTAGCCCAGGAAAAGATCAAAATTCAAAATTTGAAGCACAATTTCTATTGAATGCATATTACTTTTGCACGCTAATGAAGCTGAAAAATTGTAAGGTGCACCATTATAAGTTGGAACTATCTATTTATGTTTACATTTGCCTTTGCCAGTGAGTTTTGTATTATCTAATGCTATCATGTTGCTGCTTAGTTTGTGTTTCACGTTGTTTCAAGCCTGTAGCATTCTTGTAAGGCAGTCTGCTCATGGTGGTGAGTCCCCTTGACTGGTTTGCCTGAGAAAATCTGTACCTGTCCTTCACTTTTGGAGGACGTTTTTGCCAGGTATAATTTTTTAGTTGGTAGTTTTTGTCTTTCAGCACTTTGAATATATTATTGTACTTCCTTCTGTCCTGCAAAATTCCTGCTGGAAAACCTGCTGGTAGTATTATGAACATTCCTTTGTGTGAGACAAATAGCTTTTCTCTCTTACTTCTTCCAAAACTCTCTTTTATCTTTGACTTGGTTACTTGATAATAATGAATCTCAGTATCGATTCT